TCTGAAAATTGGCCTTCAGGTGCCTCACACAGTAACGGTGGTACGCATAGGGTTCCTACCATTTAGGCAAGTGTCGTACAGAACTTAAAATACCACCATGTCGATCAGATATTAGACAAATACCTGAACGCTGTTTGACAACGTGCTGCTTCAAGTGGTTCAAGAAAAGCGTCCACGTCTCTTCGCTTTCATTGGCACAAATGGCAAAAGCTAGTGGAAATATTTGTCCGTTGGCATCTACTGCAACTGCAATCAAAAGCTTAATATCATACTTTCCATAGACATGAGTATCGTCTATGGAAATTACAGAACGACAATTCACAAAACCATCAATTGCTGGTTTAAATGACCAGAACACATAGTTGAAAATATATTCCGGTAAATCCGGACTCCGCTTAAGCCACCATTCAACAACAGTCCCGGGGTTAAAGTGTTGCAGTGCGGCCATGTACCTGGGCAGCGATGAAAAAAGACTTATCCCAGTCGCCATAAATAAGTTCAAAGGCACGTTTGCGACCGATATATGCCTTTCTTTTGGTTATAGTACAATCATACTCCTGGTGGACGACTGTAATACACTCTTTAATCTTGAACTTAATGGACACTTCCAAATATGGAATAAAGACAAGAGAAATCAAGTCTACATCCAGGTTGAAATGATTCTCATTGAATGTGTCCATTCCACATCTGTGGGTGCTAATAAATTTACCCACTTTCCACAAACCTGATTTCTTCTTACTGGCACGCAACATCCAGTGACAACCCATAAAGTCTCTACGACATACAGCCTTGTATACCTCCGTAGTTGACTCCCTTACCGTCATCTCACAGCATTCTCTTACACTGTAGATTTTTACAGCCTTAATTAGGCGAGCTTTATCGGGGAAATACATGCCCTTTGTCAGAACCGCTGGTCTAGACTCATCCCATATTGCTGACCGAATTTCATCATCATCCCTTGTGAGGGCATCCACGTTCAGCATACTTGGAAAATTATCAAGGTAGGGAATATTCCGCTCATGAAATGGCACGTGGGACTTGTACACTCTTTGTCTAGCGGGAGGTGGAAGAACATGCTCTCTCGTTAGCTCAGGTTCAAAATTCACTTCCTCCTCCTCATCACCCTCATCAGGGAAGGGTGTGTCATCTCCAGACTCATCTGCATTGTTGTCATAATCACTATCATCTTCCTGACTCTGCGCATCTTCCAAATCACGAGTCAATACGTCGTCTATGGGCAACTGTGTGAGGTCAGGAACATCAAGAAGCTCGTTTTCACTGCACAAAAAGAACAAAATGATAAGTTACCCAACTAGATAAATACTTTACATATAGCTATATCACTTTATTTACAAGTCGTACTGTCTTGACGTTTCATGATGGATATTTTCTTGTTGGTGAAGACTCCCGGATGGACCACCGTGGTCCAATAAGCCAGAACTACGCATATTCCAACTAGGGGCGGGGTCATAACTTGTAAAATTCATATCCGAACGGTACCCCCTATGAAAAATATGAGTGTTAATACAAATCCAACTAAAACATAAAATAAGCAATGCTAAAGCGTAGAAAAATTGAAGTTTATCAGTCGTCTTGTGGATTATATAAAGTCGAAAAATTATTTGTGGCTGCTCATTCGCCGGTGGTGAAAAGTTTAAATCAAGGCAAGCTCTTTCATCAACAATCTGTCCGACAAAAACTACTCCAGATTAACCACCTGATGACTGGGGGTTATCCCTACTATGCACGCCCTCATTATTGGGAATGTCTTCAATCTTGACATATATTTCTAACAATTTTATTACAATAAATTCCTTGTATTCATCCAGAATCCGCAAAAAATCTCTAAGAGTTTCATCATCTTCGATGTTAAACTCAGAATAATAAGCAAACCCCTGCGGAGTCACTGAACACGAAAATCTACCGGTTACTTTAAGGTTAACTGAACGCTTCCTCACACTCATTTTTTTACGTAACAATGATACCGATTTATCGTACTCCATTGTAAGCGGCAATTTAACATGACACTCTGGAGGTGAGCTATACCTCATAGAGTTATTCTCCAGCACAACCTCACCCTCCCAATATAATGAAATCCTTATTTTTGGCTCTTCAGACATTATAAAAAAATGATTGATAAAAAGAAGAGAGAAGTATGAACGGAAGTTTGAAGAAAGTATTGAATGGATTTTCATAAAATTGAAACGCCTTTTAAAAAAGGCAAGTCCGAGCCTGGGGTGCAGATTTTTTTTATGTAAATCGTAGTACAATACCACGTTTTATGTATTTGAGTTATTGTTATATCAGTTATCCGTAGAACACTTATTGGTGAGCCCAAAAATCAGAGTAAAATGCAGTATAATACTGCATTTTACACTAAAAATTAATTCTTTGCAGTCCTGTAGAAGTGGGCCCAAATATTATAGGAAAATGCAGTACAATATTGCGTTTAAGTTAAACGCAGTATTGTACAGCGTTTTCCTAAAAAAATAATTTTTTAATAAAATGCAGTATAGTACTGCGTTTAACTTTAACGGCTAACTTTCTGTTAAAGTAAAACGCAGTATTATACTGCATTTTATGTATTTATGTAACTTTTTTTTAACAGTAGAAACGTATTTTGTGCCAATTTTGGCACTATTTAAGTTTCGGACCCGAGATCTTTGTCCATTAGCCATGATGCCCTATGAAGTGGTTCTCCCATTTCACAAGGTACTAGCTAGTAGCTACCTTTCTTCTTACGCGTTTGTATTTTGGATGGCTAGCAATGATGGCCACCATCCTCCACCCATCGGATGCCCCTCCTTGCTCTTGGACTGAATCTTCCCATGACTCAACCAAGTCTAGCCGCTTCTCAAGCATCAAGTCTATGCTTCCACTCCCTATTTTGCTGCCCTCCGTGGTCCAACCTTACTGGCAAACTTGAACCCTCTGCTTGGTCCATCGTCTGAGTCCGATAGCATGCCATCACTTTGTAACTTACTATCCTCTTCAACTATGTCCGTCCAACTTTTCTTGCTGCCACCATGCTCCATTTGCATGGTGCTAAGATAGGCTTTGGAATCCCCTACTTTCGGCTTAGATTCCAAGCGCATCCCTCCAATACAGGCAGTCCTCCTGTGTTATCCTTATGTGCTTGAGCAAAGTTCCCTGTCATTGTTGCAAGCTTCCCCAGCTCTGAGCATTCACTTGCCCGATATGATCCTTCACAGAAGTAGCACCCTCCCTTAGGCACGTACTCCCTACAATTTTCCGACCCCTTATCATTTCTCTTGGATCTCTGTCCGCTATGGGATGGCCCCTTGCCATTACCCTTGTATACCTCGGCTATGCATTTCCCGTTGTCCACATCATGATCTCCGTTATCCCTCTCGGCGTTGCCTTTTTTGGACTTGGCAGGCTCTATCTTGAAGTCAACAAATGACTAGGCTACTCCGATGGCCCCGTTCACGTTGGCTATTTGATGTCTTCTTAACTTATGCTTTGCCCAATTTTGCAACCCATCCATGAAGTAGAAGAGAAAATCTTCCTCGGACAATGACGAGATTAGCAGCATTAAGGTAGTGAACTCGCGTACATACTCCCGAATTGTGGCCTCTGTCGGAGCTCCCTTAGCTTCCGCCAGTCTACCACCTCGCGTGCAGCCCATGCACCACCATACTGCTTTCCTTTAGGGACGTTCGCGTTGATACCTTCTGCAAGTACCAAGCCCTTGGTAATTCCGGCCATGGTTCCTACAAAATTTTCTTCTAGCAATCTCTTGTATTCTTTCTAATATTCCTTAGTCATAACCTGGCTTTGATACCACATTGTCACGTCCTTAGTTGTTAACTAAGTACATGTGCAGCACTTGACAACTCGCTTACGATCTTGCACAACTTTATCACGATCTTGCTATGTCAAGTCAGTCTTACTACACTCAAGATCGCTAAGAGAATGGAAGAAAGAACACAAGATAATTGTTAAAGGAAGTTTTGTATTAGAGAGAACTTGAATTGTTTGCTTGGTTAATGAATTACAAATTAATGTCCCCTATTTATACTAATCACCTAGGGGCTAGTATGTAAATAATAATTTTTCTACAAGTCCTTCCATATTTACAACTAAGTCCCTTCTCTAGAATATTCTACACATCTAGATTATTCTAAGAACTTTCCTAACAATTCTATAGAGTTCTAGGGTCTTCCAAAGGAAACCTCTATATTTCTCTAGAACCTTCCTACAAATGCATAAATATCTAGAACATTTCCAAGGAAATTCTCCATAGTTCTAGAATATTCCACCAAGTTCTAGTCCCTAACTTATGTAACCATTCCATATAGCAAAAATATATGCCAACACTACTGGAAAATAGGCCTATGGCAACAGCAGGTAAACCGTTGCAATTGATAGGTCAACCCTTGCCATAGATATATTGGAACGATTCAACGACCGTGACATCCGCTCGCGTGCCAATACAACAACGGTTTTGGCAACAGTTGACCATACCATTGCTATAGATCCAGCTATCACAACGGTTTTCCTTCTGTCTGAAGCAACGAGTGTTCATTTCAACTGCAATAGTTGAAAACCATTACCATATAGTTTATGCAACGGTTGAAAACCGTTACCATATAGTTTATGCAATGGTTGGAAACTGTTACAATATAGTTTATTGCAATGGTTATGTATGTTATTGCAACGTTTATTTACAACTATTGTAACGGTTTCATTACGCTATCGTAACGGTTTTGTTTCTATTGCATCGGTTTCAATTGCCAATTGCATCAGTTTGTCACATTTTTTGGAACGGTTTGCAAGACATATCGGAACGATTTAGAATGTCTATGGCAACGACATTTGTGCTTATTGCAACGGTTCTATTAGGCTATTTTAAACGTTTTATTGACATTACTACCTGGAAATATTTATAATTATAACCTAGAAATTATATAATAAAAAGATAAAACACTTCATAATCTTTCATGTCCAATAATTTAAGAATAACGATAATAACAAAATGTTTTAACCCAATTACATAAGTTTTACAGTTCAACACTTCAAAAGTTAAAGTTTCAAATGTTATAACAAAAGACTCCAAGAATATCGACAACAACTCAAAGTTCTTCTTAAGTAAGGTCTAGATCTTCACCTTCTCCATCTTGACTTTCTTCAGTTGCTCACCTTCTCCATCTTTCCTTTCTTCAGTTGCTCCACCTACAAAAGAGAATAAATAAAGTCATTAAATAAGAATGGGTATAGTAGAATTTTCTCTAATTGTAACTTTGTAAGTAGAGAATGGATTGGTTGCATCTCCCCTTTCATTCTTCTAATTGTAACTTTGTAAGTTGAGAAAATTCTAACATTTCAGCACTTAAAACAGGCAGTTTTGAAGTATACTAGACACAACATGTCATATCTCTTAAAGAATATAATTTGTTGTAATATAAAATAGCCAAGAGGTTATGTTTCCAACTCTTTTTAGGATCACCTCTGCTTCGATATTCTCACACTGTACCGTAAAAAAAGCCCATGCACACGCCTATATTTCTCCCACAAAACAGTCCTAATAAGCCTTTCAGGTAAAGCAACAGAGTTTGGCATGCATGTAAAAAGAGAGATCAATTGCAAAATCAATTAAACTGAGCACTGATCATCTTTCTACTACATATATAGAAGTTGAGCATTCAAATACTATGTTGAGTTTTTGAAATATTAGCATCTTGTTGGGATGACAAGAACAATGGTAGACGTGGAATCGGAAGCTTTTTAACATATCCATGTGAACATGACATAACTCTATTTTAAATAACATAATTCTAAATTTGATGCTAGTGATGCCAACCAAGTACGACGAGGACAGATAAGCACTGCAAGGCAAGTGTTCAAATTGCAGCTCACAGTCAATGACCAAGGACAATTAATTTGACTCTCAAACATGAAGCCTAAATTGCAACTAATGAATTCTATATCAAACAAATACTGAGATAGCACATACCAAAAACACAATTAATATAATAATAACTTATAAATGAAGACAAGGAGGGGAACTTTAAGCAGGAGACTTTTATTTTATTTTTGATTGGAGCACCAATCAGAAGCATATAAAATTGCGCTCTACTTTCACGTGAGCACACCAATTTGCGCTCTACTACTTATCAAAAATATTTCCAGCTCTACTACCAAAATATTTCCCATCAAACAGTCACTATGCCTTATCAGAGAGAGCAGTGGCAGCAAAAAAGAAACAGAAGGAGAAGAAGAAGAAGAAGAAGAAGGAGGAGGAGGAGGAGGAGGCGAAGAGTACGTACTAACCTCGATTATTACTCCCAGTAGATAGACAATTGATTAGTTGCACAACAGCTTATTGTGCAGGAAAAACATCACCAGGTGAACGAGCATTGAAAACTAGTATGTTGGGATCAACCTGTAAATCTGGATTCAGACGCTTAAGTTGTGAAATGATGTTAACTGCAACTTGTAGTTCCATGGCATCTTTTTGTGCATTAAACTTTTCCCACATTCTTTGTTGCATCCTTTCTTCCATTTCCACCATTTTTTGTTGCAGCATCTCATCAATAGAACTTAAAGAGGTTCCAATATCTCCCACTTTTGTTTTTAAGGAAGTCTTGGTAACCCCACGTCCGTACAATATTAGGCGTCCTGGATGCTCAGGTCCCATGATGGACGCAAACGCATCAACTGATTGACTGTCATCTTCAGTTTCTTGTGTTGATTGTATTCTATCCATTTCAGCCTACAAGATCAAATTGAGTCAATTTTAGATTAGTAAGTATATAAAATTGAGCCAATAACTAATAACAGACAAATGATATCAACAAACTTTAAATTAGTAACTCGTACAATTTTATTAAGAGTATCCGCATATGAGGCCTTGTATACTTGATCGGGCTTTCTTTTTCTTGTAGCCACAAATATGTCCTTACTTGATAGAGATTCAGAAGTTTCTTTCTTTTTTTCCTGCTTACATAAAAAAGTGGTATAAAATAGTTTAGATTATGGCTAGCAAGTTCATATTTAAAAGAATAATAAGAAAAAAAAATACAAGCCTTGCATATTCTAGCAAAACCTTTTTTGCCAGCAGTGTGTGGATATCTCAACTTTTTGCGATTCTCAGTGTTGGTTTCTTTTATTTTCTGTAAAGTCAAGTGTAAACGAACATTTCTTTCTCTCGTCATAAATGAATAAGCACAACCTAATGGAATGAATAGTTTGCAATATTTTATCCTCTTAATGGAATTTTTACCAGATCAACCAAGGATTTAGCACTTTGGTTGTACTTTTTTTGTTGGTAAATAAACAGTATAGAGACCTGCAGAGGGGAAGCCAAAGTACACTTGGGCTAAAAGATCAAATTGAGCCTCTTTGCTTCTTAGTGCTTACTCTCCCCCTAGTTCCATTAATTTATCTTCCTCAAAAAGATCATTTGCTTGTCATTCCCATTAAAGCAGCAGTTGATAACATGTTCTATATTTGAACAACCACCATACTGACTCTTTGTATGTCAGTCTTAGAGAATTAAAAAATGGTACATCTGGTTCTTAATTAAAGCGCAAATTACAATCTAGAGATAAATAAACTGTATTACTAGTCAAGTGCTACTTATATGCAAGTTACTTTAGACAACTGTCTATAGAAATAACATTTTAAAATGATAACAAGTAGAGAAAGCGAAAGTTGAAATTCTGAACACCAAGTTATAACTTCCCTTTCTGAACACAGAAACATCTACAACATGTAAATGTATAATGAATTGCAAACTATTCATTCCATTTCTTTCTCGCCTAAGAACATGATTTCTAAATAAACAAAAATTAGACATTTTAAGCAAATCATAGGACAATATTCAGTTTTACCTTGTAGGTATCAGAGTTCCAATATCTAAGAAGTTCCCTAAATTGAGAATCCGGAACATCAATCGGCCTATTCTCCATTCGAAGCTCGTCATTCTCATAGTGTTCAAAATGGTCTTTATATAACTGTTTTTTGTACTTTCTCCAAGCATTTGAAATTGATTAAAAAACCGACTTTTTTGCACCTTCATGAATGTCATATTTTCCCTACAAATTTAGAGCAGTTAGGTTGGTGTAAATAATATGAAATATCCACACACACCTATTGAATATTGCGAATTTCAAACCATGACATAACATATCTTCTTTTGTCTCAAGTTTCCTCTAATCAAATACATTAAGAGGACAAAAGGTCGCATTCCTTGCCAATGTACCAAGGAAGCTACCCAACTCATTTACATCATCATCAGTAGGATCTATGGGTTGATTGTTCTCATTTAGCACAATTTTCTTGCGCTCTTTCCTACCATGAACACTTTGCATCTGAGTTTTTCCTCTTTTTCATTTTTCGGCAGAAGGACCTACATAAATATGAAGTAAGAATAATCATCGAAAGTCATTACGTTATTGAATTTGACGATTGAAATCTATATGTTCTTGCCTTGTTCCTCAGATTGCTCGTTTGTTTCATGATTGGAAGAATCCTCAACTTGTTCTTGTACCGTTTGTGAAGTACCAGGGGTGGAATCCAGTGGTAGTTGTTGCAATTGTTTACGTACTGCTTGTGATGCAAGAGAGGTAGAGTTCAACGGAATTTGTTGCACTTGCTCATGTACTGTTTGTGCTGGTGCAAAAGTAGAATGCTGCAATTGTTCATGCACTGCTTGTGATGCTGAAGGTGTAGAGTTCAGTGGCATTTGTTGCACTTGCTCATGTACTGTTTATGCTGGTGTAGAAGTAGAATGCAGAGACAGTGACCTTGGAGCTTTAATAACTCTGTTTGTTTTCAATGACGAAACTTTTAGGTTTCGCAAAGATGCAAGTGATCCAGCTACTATGCATTTTGTTAATTTTTTATTTTTACTTGAGCGCCCTTCCTGATTCATGATCTGCTTTCCTCTGTTCAAAATTAGATACACATGAGAGCCAAGAAGTACTTGAACACAAACAATAGAATCAATTGAGTAACTTCATACTGCTAAGATACAAACGAAAGTATATGAAATTAAAGCAGAAGTATAAAAGAAGGCTGTTTGTTCACTTTGTGTTTCAAAGTAGTGACCCTACCATGTGTAGATCTACAGTTTCAGCAATAAGGACTCCGGCTTAGTGTGGCTAAAGTGAAAAGAGTCAGTTGTATGAAAGTGATAGGTTGATGGCAGTAAAACCAGAGAGCATTAATGAGAAGCACTGACCATCTATAAAACTGAGCTTTTGGAATGATGCTTGAATATGATTTTCCAGACTAAGTGATACAAATTGATGAAAAGGGTTAATCAAAAAAGAAGAACAATGCAAGAAAAAGCCGCGGGCAGGGTTGAGACAGGGGACTCTTAGGCGGGTGAATTCGGGACTAGTGATTATACAACTCCATTTTTTGGAGATGCATTTGCATCGGATGAGTGATTTAACTGCTCATATCTGGCATCCAAGGTTCCAGATTGAGGCTTGTCCGTGGCTGAAATATGATCATTAGTAGTAATAATTTCTCGTTTTGTATGGACCAGCTAGGAACACAACTAGAAGTGTGAAGAAGGGCATAACAAACAGCAATCAAAAAGTGTTGGTAAGATTTGTACTAATGATGGTGATATTTGGATGCAAATGGAATCTGCTATGATTCTCAACTCATCGGCATATGATCTGACTAGAAGGTGTAAAGAGAAAAACTACACATAAAAAGACAGTAATGCTATGAACATCACCCATATTACAACTAGGGAAACCACTGAAATTACAAGAGCTTGTTTTCCCTGGAGTGAAGGGAATGGTGCATGCAACAACACTATGGGAGTGAAGCGCAATACTAACATGAACTAGTGCTGTTTAATTAAGTCTTAGATAAATCTTTGTAATGGAATAAACTGTATGATTTCCTAGGAAACTAAAGTTTTAGCAGTTTGACACTGACATATCATAAGCAGACTGATCCTATACACAACAACACAATATTCTTTAAATCAAGAAAAAGCCAAAGCAGAACATCAAGAGAAAATGAAGCACCTACTTTAACACAGACAACACTATATATAGGAAGCAAAAACAGAAGCAGCAAATTCAAATCCATTTCTAAATACACAAATTTAATTACCAAAAATTTAAATTAAGAAAACTTACTAGCAGCGGGTGTTCCCTAAATTACTAGCAATGATTTCTCCTCAGCTACCAGAAATAAATTTTCTCTCAGCTAATAATATCTATACCACCAAAGAAGGTTCTATAGTTCAACAAGGAGGAGCATGCAAAACAAAAACAAAAAAATGACATCAGAGAGGGATTACTTAGAGAGCATTCGAGCAAAGAGAACAAGAAATAATTTTGCCTTAGATACAAAAACAAACTAATTATACTCAAAGGAGTTTATGCTGATAAAGATGTTGAAATAGTCATGTCAACAATTTATGGAACTTATGTACTATTGGAAGCTATCAGAATCCAAGTAATAGCAGAAGGCAATGTTATAAAAATCAAGATAATGCTTTTAATCTATAGATGAGTGTTCTACCAATGGCCAAAAGTTACTTTCCACTTTGTGTAAGAGAGGGTTCTATGTTAATCATATTTGCAAGGAGTTGACCATTATATTACCATTTCTTCATTAAACCAATCATTAAAGGAACATACAAGCTAGATTAAAACTATTGGTTAGCATTTCCTTGTGATGTTTGTAATCACCAAAGGAACATAACTGGAAGGGAAAAAAACAGTTTGAGCCTCCTTAAAAGCTCTTCTTTTTTCCAACCCAATATGCATAGTGCAAGAAAGAAATAAAGAAAGTCATTGTTTGTAGACCACTAGAAGAGATTACAGAGAATTCCACTATGAATAAAATAAGTACAGTACTCCTAGTAGTGAAAGATTTTATCTTGGTTATAAGATATTCTTGCTGTGTGGGAAATCTTATACACCTTTATGCCAATTATCTTTCTACACAAGGAAATCAAAAAATACTTGTACAGCTGACAAGGTATGTAATCTTAACTGAATTGGTGTAAAAAGAGGACAGAATCTGAGGAAAACTATAAATATTAAGCCCTTTTTTCTTATATTTACTTAGCAACAGGCCAAGGAAAAAAGTGAAGAAAAAAACAAGAGATTCTTTGTTAGTTATATAAAGAGGGGGTTCTTCAACTGTGGTGAGAGCTTCTTTTCTTGAATGACATATTGGTATGTGTAAATGCATGGACAAGAAAGTGGGGGTATTATGAGAAATTAGCCAATGAGTTGTCTGAATATAAAGGAAATTGGCAGCATAGTTTCTGTTTCCCAAATGGATTCTTGAAACCAACTATTTGACATTTCTCAAAGATTTTGTCATTTCCTTCCTCAGCAATTATTTTTTCTAGTACATAAGTCTCCAATCAAGAGGACCACCACTTTCATCTGATTTTTGATAATGGAGTTCAAGTTGGTACTTTTATATTCATCTTTATGAAAAAATTCAACTTTTTCAGCAGCAGTTTTGACCTGAAAGTTTCTTCATAGGTCCATATTATCAATACAAGTGTCAATTAATGTTCAAAAAAGTTGGATGATTTTCTTGGATGGCAAGTTCATTTGCAGCTATAGGAGAAGGAATTGGAGGGGCAGTAGTCCTCTTGGGAGTAATTTTATTTTTATGCTTTTGCGCATTTCGCAACAGGAATAATGCAAATAAGAATTCAGACAGTGCTTCTTCAGATCCATCTACAGTAGGTAATGTAGAAAAAAATATCATCACTAGTTTACAATAGCAATGGAAATGAACTAAAAATTTGCCCTGCTAACTCTACTTTCTGCTAAATGTACTGACCAAAATAGTTACAATGGAGCTGAAAAGGGAGGACCAAGCCCATCTTTTAAGCAGTTCAGTATGGAAGAGTTGGAGAAAGCCACAAGGAATTTTGATGAGAGCAATAATGCAGTATTACAGACACATTATGTTAACAGTTACCTGATAACATAAACTTAATATTTCTACTCAAGCAAGCAAGAACAATGGAGTGGGAATCAAATTTAAAATTAAACATCGACAAAATAACAGCAGACAATAAATTCAGGAAATCACAATAGTCAGTACTTAATCCTAAATTCTGATATTCAAAATCAATTTAACCATTCCTACTCAACCACATTATTACCAATTGAAAAGACTCACAGTCCTAAAACTTTTAAAATTAAAGAAGTTCTTGACAATTCTTGAATCCTAAATGGTCAGCAATAACGAGCTTCAATGTCTGTAAGTTGAGTTGATTTAACAAAAAAAAAAAAGCAAGAAAAAATTCAGATTCACAGCCCTAGAGCAATCCTACAGCAATCAATATAAATATAAATACACCAGCCCTAGAGCAACTCGACAACCTCCATGGATAGATTGAAGAGTTAAAAAAAGGCATCAAAATAACTTACATGGCTAAAATCACTGGTGTTGGATTTAGGGATTTGGGAGAGCACCTATTTTACAATAAAAGCGTTCCAGTAGATAATTTTATTGGGACGGTTTATATAACCGTTGCGCAAGATTAATCTATGGCACGGTTGTTTTACAATTGCAACGGTTGTATAGCTTAAGTGTGCTGATATCACCTAAATGCTATTGTAACGGTTGTAACCGTTACCATAGATGTTCTATGGCAACGGTTGTTTAACCGCTGCTAAAATAACTATTGCCATAGGCCCTTTTTCTGATAGTGCAAGTGGCACCTATGTGGCATGATGGTGTGGCGCGTCATGATAATAGTTCCTAATTTTTAAGTATACCTTGGACGAATTCATAATATTAAAAAAAATTATTTTCTAATAATTGTACCCGGGTATGTCATCTAAGAAACTTAAATAAAAAGTCTCCTATAAATTTTCCCTTTTTTCACACATACGTGTGGAGAACGTGCTGGATTGGAAATGGATTTTATTAGTAGAATCAAATTAATTAACAAATAAGACGGCTTTGAGGTTCAATCATTCATTTATCTCATTGGAAACGTGACTAAACTTATAATAAGTGAGGAAGAATGAAAAGTCAGCAATTTGGCCCAGTCAACTACTGTTGGCTTAGAAGACACATTCTTTCTTATGGCCTTTGACCTTTCTAATAATAGTGGTTAATTAGTAGTACTAATTTACTATATTATCCTTCTAATTTGACCCAACTGGAAAAGTTGACTTTTGCTCTGGTGGACTCCTGGTCAATTCTGCACATTCAGTATTTTCTTGCTTTATTTGATGAGATTGTTTTCCATTTAATATTTGTTTATCCGCTAATATTCATGAGTTATTTGAATATAAGTCCAAACAAGTAAGATGTTTGAATGAGCTTCGAATCGAAATGTCATGTTTCTTCAACTTTTTCCTTTTTCAAAAGTTTGCTTAATTTACGCCTAGTGTTTGTTAGTATAACTTTTTTAGTTTTACCACAAACATATATGTCAGTGTAAGGATAAATGTAAATTAGATAAGTGTACTAATTGTCAGCCTAACTTATAATCACAAGAATAAATATTCAAGGGAAAATCAGGGGCAACCTGGACTTAATGCTTAGTTATGACTCTTTATCTCCTGCCCTCCCAACCTCATCTTCTTGCTAATGGTGACAAAATTTTATATTAGCTCCTACTCATGTAAGTGTGTCAAAATCTAAATTTTCAATGCAGTGGATAATCAACATATATGATACTAATATTATTAATGATAAAAACACTCCCTTTGACATAGATCTGACAGAAAATAGGCACAGAACTGGTAATACAATGGCACTAAATTAAAGCAAAGTTGCAAGATCCACAAAGTTTGCTCATTGATCTTTTTATTCAGCAACAAGCATAACTATTTATGGGTTATATGAGAAATAGAGTCTAAATTGCCATCTTCCAGACTCATCTTGCTTACTCGGTTCAGAAAAGGGTAGCTTCCGTCGGCTTGAACAAGCTCACTATTATCTGGTGCAGCCATTTCTTCTCTCAACTGAGTTAGTACACGTTCAATCGTATACTTTCTCTCCCAATTTGCCAGCATCTCAAATTTTTCTGCTTCAACCTATCATCAATATCTTTCAGGTGAATTTTCATTCCCTTGTTCCCTTGTACAAAGTGTTGGGATATACTGTTAACCATGCAGTTTAGATATAGTATTATATTTATTAATTCTTTATGGAACAATTATTTATTTATTTATTCAATTCAATAAAATACTATTTTAAATAATCATTTGTTACATGTGTGTCCTTTTAATTATGTAATAGACAATTAGTGTATGGAGTCTTAGCTCATACACATAAGATTAAATTGTTGGTTCTCATAATTAATAAACTACAATCAAAGATATTGTTGGACAAAATATCTTGATGATTGTAGCACAAGATTATCGTATAATTTGTCTTGATTATGAGAGTAGTTTTGCCCCAACTTCTTGTGCTAGTATACTCAGTGTATATTGAACAAACCAAGTAGAGAAAAGATGTTTTGTACTGAATATATAAAGCATTTTCTCTAATTTTTTAAATAAGCATATACTCCTAATCTTGATATAATTATTATGATCAATGTAATTTGTTTATTGTTTTGATTTATCAAAAGGTACGACTCGATTTAGAGTTAGTGTATGTCTAATGGATTGGACAATAACGAATAATATTTGTGAATAATAATTAGTTGATAGAATTCATGACTCGGTTTTGAGTTTGATGATACCCCTTTATGTAAGCTTATAAGTTTTCATGTGAAAACTTGGCCGGTGGATTTTGTATCCGTCACATGAAATAGTTTAAGCGAAATTGTAAAGGATTTAATTATTGATTAAATTAGATTTTCAGTGATTTAATTTAATAACTGGTATTTGTGATCTTAATATGGGGAGTTAAAATAAGTGTTATTGAATTTTTGAAATTCATATTGAGGAGTTCAATTGTAGTTTTTTTAGTGGAATAAATTACAATTAATTATAGTAAGAATTAATTCATGATAATTTCGAATTAATGTTATAATTGGTAGCCTCTTATTATTTGTGTGGTCCCTGCTATACCTAGTAAAAACCTAGACAAGACTTGGATAAAAAGTGACCTTGGAGAAAAGTCATCTAATAGAGTTGAAGTAAGATTCTACTTGTAGAAGGAGAATCCTACACGTTTTTGGAGCACAATTTCGGCCAAAAATAATCTATTAAAACAAGGCTAATTTCACCCAATAACTGACTTTTTAGAGTTGCATTGTTCTTGCCCACCCAAAAGCAAAAATCATCCAAGGTTTTACTAGGCAAATAACAGAAGACTGCAACCCTAGATTCTTGCTGTTTGGAAGATCTATGCAACTATTTCAAGAGGTTAGTGCTTCTAATCTCGTTATTATTGCGTTGTCTAGTTTACATGTATTTGATGCCTGGATTGTATGCTTGCTTCCGCTGTGCATGTTCTAATAATTGGTATCAGACGCCGTCTTACATCTAACTAGATAATGTAATACAACATGAATAGAGTAATAATAAAAGGTGTTGTTTATTGATACATGTTTGGTATGATTATTCTATGTCAAAAACCTGATTGTATTTGTTAGTATCTTAATTCTGTAACTCTAAAATTATGAATTAATATACACATATATAAACAGTGGTGTTATATGACAATCTGTTTAATTACATTTTTTTATCAAGAACAATATGTTTTTTTAATAAAAATGTGACTGTTTTTGATTGCTATTAATTTTGTAATTATGGGTTATTATACATATGCACAAGCAGTAAATTAATTTTCATTAATTTGTTTTAGTTGCGTTTTGTACATAATCATAGTATTATATTAATAAAAACTTGACTGTTTTATATGACATTAGTTATGTAATTTTGGATTAATATACAAAATTATGAAAGTGGCAGCTTTGACTAGTGAAAAACATATTGTTTTTATAATTCTTTCTAAACATGTTTTTATTAAATAAAAATAAAAATATTATTTTGAGTTTTGAAATCATGTGTTAACATACATCAGTATATTATGTGATTTGAACAAGTCAAAATTGTAACGACCCGGCCGGTCGTTTCATGAGTTACCGCTCCAGTTCCCCTATTTCTACTGCTTATTGCTTTGTTAATCGGTTCTATGTGAGATCGGAATGGTTGGTTCGAGTTCGGAGAGGTTTTGGTAAGGTTTAAGACACTTAGTCTCTTTTGAGGAAGCTTAAGTTGGAAAAGTCAACCGGATGTTGACTTATGTGTTAAAGGGCTCAGATGTGAGTTCTGATGGTTCGGATAGCTTCGGGAGGTGATTTGGGACTTAGGAGCGTGATCGGAATGTATTTTGGAGGTCCAGAGTAGATTTAGGCTTGAATTGACGAAATTGAAATTTTGGCGTTTTCCGGCTGATAGGTGAGATTTTGATATAGGGGTCAGAATGAAATTCCGGAAGTTGTAGTAGGTCCGTTGTGTCATTTGGGATATGTTTGCAAAATTTCAGGTCATTCGAACGTGGTTTGATAGACCTTTTGATCGAAAGCGGAATTTGGAAGATTTTGGAATTCTTAGGCTTGAATCTGATGCAAATTTGGTGTTTTGATGTTGTTTTGAGCGTTCCGAATGTTGGAACAAGTTTGAATGATGTTATGGGATATGATGGCATGTTTGGTTGAGGTCCCGGGGGCCTTGGGTGAGTTTCGAGTGGTTAAACGGACCATTTCATATTGTGAAAATTGCAGAAAAACTGTTGTGTATGCTTGCAGACAATTGGCCTTCGCGTTCGCGAGTAGGCCCCCGCGTTCGCGAAGGGTTAGCAGGTGAGTCTGAAGAGTTGGCCTTCGTGTTTGCGAGGGAGGTCCCACGTTCGCGAAGGGCTGGACCATTGATCTATGCATTCGCGAGAAGGGAAGCCATGTTCGTGAAGGTTGGAGTCAGGAAGCATCGCGTTCGCGAGAGGTCAGACGCATTCGCGAAGGAGGAAAATGTGGACAACGTCAGTTTGTGCTTCGCTAACGCGAGGCTTTGACCGCGTTCGCGAAGAAGGATTTGAATGCCTGGGCAGAATGTTTAAATAGCCATTGTCCGCGATTTTAAGGCTAACTTTCACCATTTTTGAGCGATTTTGGAGCTCTTTAAAGAGGATTGAAGAGGGAACCAAGGGGGAACAATTGGAGGTAAGATTTATGGACTTAATACTTGATCCTAATGTGAATTCTACCTAATTAATCATGGAATTTAAGCCTAATAATGAAGAACTAGGGCTTGTAATTGGAGACCTAGAATTTGGGATTTGAGGGGTCGTTTGTGGTTGGATTTTGATGCATTTGATATGAATGAACTCTGGGAGTGATAAGGAGTCTATTGATGTAATTTTTATCGGAATCCAAGACGTGGGCCCGGGGGTCGAGTTTGGCCAATTTCGGGATTTGTATTGTAATTTGATTTTTTTCGAGTGGGCTTTGTTCCCTTAGCATAATTTGATGGGTTTGCACTGATTTTGGTTAGATTTGGAGCATCCAGAGGCTGATTTGAGAGGCAAAGGCATCGCAGGTTAGATATTGGACTGGATAGAGGTGAGTAATAATTTTAAATGTTGTCCTGAAGGTATGAAACCCCAGATTACAAATCATTGTTGTCACGACCCGGAATTTCCACCCTCGGAAGTCGTTATGGTGCCTACTGATGAGAGCTAGGCAAGCCAACCCTTAACTACCTTTTTCATTAAGCAATTTACTTCTTTTAACCCTTATCAGTAATAACATGAAAATAATGGAATTAATTAAATAA